AGGCGTGAGCCATGGCGCCTGGCCCAGATTCTGTTTACTGTAAAAATATGTAACAATTTATACTTTTTTTTTTTTTTTTTGAGACGGAGTCTCGCTCTGTTGCCCAGGCTAGAGTGCAGTGGCACGATCTTGGCTCACTGCAAGCTCCGCCTCCCGGGTTTATGCCATTCTCCTGCCTCAGCCTCCTGAGTAGCTGGGACTATAGGCGCCCGCCACTATGCCCGGCTAATTTTTTTGTATTTTTAGTAGAGATGGGGTTTCACCGTGTTAGCCAGGATGGTCTCGATCTCCTGACCTCGTGATCCGTCTGCCTCGGCCTCCCAAAGTGCTGGGATTACAGGTGTGAGCCACCGTGCCCAGCCCCTCTTTGTTTTTTAAGAGATAGGGTCTTTCTCTGTGCCCAGGTTGGGGTGCATTGGTATGATCATAGCTCATTGCAGCCTCGAATTCCTGGGCCCAAGTGATCCTTCCACTTCAGCCTCCTGAGTAACTGGGAGTACAGTTATGCAGCACAACACCCGGCTTATTTTATTTTTTGAGACAGGGTTTCATTCCTGTCACCCAGGCTGGAGTGCAATGGTTCAATCTCAGCTCAAAGCAAGCTCCACCTTTCGGGCTCAAGCAATTCTCCTGCGTCAGCCTCCTAAGTAGCTGGGACTACAGGCATACCTTGCCTGGATAATTATTATTATTATTTTATTTTTTGGTAGAGACAGGTTTTTGCCATGTTGCCCAGACTGGTCTTAAACTCCTGGCCCAAGTTGTCCTCTTGCCTCCCAGAATGCTGGGATCATAGGTGTGAGCCACCACATCCAGCCTCATTTTATCATTTTTTAAATGTTTTACAGAGATGGAACCTTGCTATGTTGCTCATTCTGGTCTCGAACTCCTGGTCTCAAGCAAACCTCCCACCTTGGCCTCCCAAAGTGCTGGGATTACAGGCTCCCACTTAGGTATGTTACCAGAAGCATAAGCAACCAAACAAAAAATAGATAAATTGGACTTCATCAAAATAAGTGTCTTTCCGTACCAAAAGACAATATCAAAAAAGTAAAAAGACAATACAGAATGGGAGAATCAAATCATGTATCTTATAAAGGACTTCTGTCTAGAATATATGAAGAAATCTCACAACTCAAAAAGACTTCAGATCTCTGGCTCTTCAATAAAAAAAGACAAACAATCCCATTTAAAAATGGGCAAAGATCTGAGTAGACATTTCTCAAAGAACTATACGTACGGTCAATAAGGACATGGAAAGATACTCAGCATCATTAGTACACCAGGGACATGCAAATCAAAACCACAATGAGACACCACTTTACACTCACTAGAAAGGCGATAATGAAACCCAAACCAGCCAACCAAAACAAAACAAAACAAAACAAAACAAAAAAACAGAAAAGAGGCTGGGCACGGTGGCTCATGCCTGTAATCCCAGCACTCTGGGAGGCCAAGGATGACGGATCATCTAAGTTTAGGAGTTGGAGACCAGCCTGGCCAACATGGCGAAATCCCGTCTTCATAAAAAATACAAAAATTAGCCGGGTGTGGTGGTGGGCGCCTGTAATCCCAGCTACTTGGGAGGCTGAGGCAGGAGAATAGCTTGAACTCGAGAGCAGAGGCTGCAGTGAGCAGAGATTGTGCCACTGCACTCCAGCCTGGCGACAGAGCAAGACTTCATCTGAAAAAACAAAAAACAAGAATTAGCCGGGTGTAGTGGCGCATGCCTGTAATCCCAGCTACTTGGGAGACTAAGGTGGGAGAATCACTTGAACTCGGGAGACTGAGGTTGCAGTGAGCCAAGATAACACCACTGCACTCCAGCCTGGGCAACAGAGCAGACTGTCTCAAAAAGAAAAAAAAAAAAAAAAGGGCAGGGGAATCGCTTGAACCGGTGAGGCGGAGGCTGCAGTGGAAAAAGAATGGAAAAGAGCAAGTATTGGTGGGGACATGGATGAATTAGAGTCCTCCTACACTGCCAGTGGAATGTAAAATTGCAGCCACTTTGGGAAACAGTATGGTAGTTCCTCAAAGGATCAAACAAAATTACCACCGACCCAGCAATTCCACTCCTTGATATTATCCGAGAGAAATGGAAAACATGTGTCCACACAAAAACTTTATACGAACATTTATAGCAGCATGATTCATAGTAAGTCAAAAAATTGAAACCCAAATATCCATCAACTAACAAATGGATA